AAACAAGTTTTTAACCAAGAAAAGCATTTTGAAGCTTAAAAGCCAAGGCACGGATTCCGACAAGTCATGCTGCAGGACGACAATATGTCTCAGCCTGTGATGCTGGCCTTGCAGATATCGTCTTGGCGCAGCATTTTCTGGCATGGAATTGTACCGATGGTCCAAAAAACTGTAATGCTGCAACCTTGGGTCACGGCGCTTTGTTCCTTTGGCCCATCCAGTCAAAAAATCCAAAGCATCTTTGTGGATGCCCCCTTTCAGATGGCATTGCTCTGCTTTCTTCACAATATCCTCTCGCTCTTTCACTGACATGTGCTTCCTCAACTGGTTGCCAGATGGCTGCAACGATAATGATCTTCTCACATCATCAATTTCAGCTGCAGGCACCAGCAAACAAACCTGATACGGTTGGGCATCTGACATGTACTTGTGCACGCCCATGACCAAGTCATTTGGATGAGGAGGTGGGGCCCCTGGCCAAGCAGTGATCTCTGCGTCCCCAATGTCTTCCATTTGATGTCGCTGAACGATCCGGAACCCATGTGGGGCGAGTGGGCCGGTAACACATGAGAATTTCAAAGGAATTTCCTCAGCCCAACTTCGCCAGTCTGCTGACTGGTCATGCTTCCAACAACTTGTCTTGAAGGTTCCGTTTTCAAACGAACAGCCATTGAGGAACTTCTCATACAAATTGACAAGCTCTCTGTCTGTATTGAAAGCCTCTGCAGAGGTTTTCACAACCGCCTGCCCTCCGAGGGCATCGAGACACGTATGCGTGTGCCCCTTGATGGGGAAGCAGATGTAGATTGATTCAAAAACCTGGAGAAGCCTCAGTTTGATGAAATATCTCAAGACAACTGAATTCTTGTTGTCTCTGCTTGTGTTGTCGAGAGCCAAGCAAAGATGCCGAGCCAGTGCCTTGTGCTTGTCGTAAATTCCAGTGAGCAACCGGCTGAGGCATTCAAGGTGCGAACACGAGTCTTTGGGAAGGTCGAGATCGGCTATTGCAAATTCCACTGAATGGAAATGGCACCAGCACATCTGGACATGCATGGCTGGCCTGATCAAGTCACAGAATGCCTTGGTGAAGTTTTGGCATCGAGGAACTTTGTGCTTGGCTTGATCAAGCCCATCACTGCGCACAAACATCACACTGTGCTGCAGCAAATGCAAATCTGTCCCTGATAGCATCGCGGCCCTTGTTTGTCCAGCCTGTGCATGGAAGTTGCTGTCAAGTTGTCTATCGCGCCAATTGCGCAATAGGTGCCTTGCATAGTCCTCCATTGTGGAATTTCGCTCAGCTACTCCCATGTGTCGCTGGAGCTGTTTTTTGTACCACATACATTCATCACAAACTCCATGCTGCCCTGTGCTTTTGCGGAAGGCAATGTGTTTCCTCGAAGCACGAAGTGCACGCAAGAATGTTGTCCAAGATGGTTTTTCTGTGTAATTGTTTTGCTCACACCAGGCTCTGCACATCTGATACAGCACAATAGGTTTTACAACCCCTAGGTATCTTCTCGGAGCATCACCCAATTGCGGCCCTTTCATGGCATTCTGGAAGGGATTGGATGTGACGATGGCCTTTGTAGCCATTGCTGCAAGCTTTCTTGAATCTGCCTCATTCCAATCATCCTTTGACATCTGGCACTCATCTTCATCTTCAGAATCTGAATCTGGCAACTCACATCTGACATCACGTTTTCCATCAGCTGACCTGTGCCTGGGAGCGAAAACCAATGTTGGGCGGCCCAGCCCTTCAAAATCAAATCTGTCAGGTAACCACTCACCCTCGTTGTGGTACCGCAGCTGCAAGAACCGATGACAGAGATCCAGCTGGGGACTCGCAACTGCATTCTGTACTCGGAAGGCTCTCTTGCGACGGTCTGGAAGTCCATGTTGAACCTGGTGTGGGAGGTCATGTCATGCCAGGCCAAGACTTGCATTGAAAAATGAACGATTGAAAAACCAACTGAAACAAATAAACGGGCACATAAAAACTAACCAAAGCATTAATGCTGACGTGTTGCCCTGTGGAGCCGTGCTTTTGAAATGCCCAGAGCCCACACAGCCGCTTTCTGGCAAATGCGCATCCCTTTGTCTGCCCCATGAAGAAATAGGCCAATTCTGACAGATGGTCTTTTTGACCCTTGCCTGACGCTGTAGTGTCGGGACGTCTGCTTGGCTACTTTTTCCTCATGACCAGAGTCTGAATCTGAATCAGCTGGATTGGAGGTGCTTGTGGATTGGCCAGCATCATCCACTTCTGAGGTTGACGTTGTTGAACCTTGACCATCATCGCCTGTGCCTCTGGAAGGTCTTGCCAGTGCCTGTCTCGGAGTGATGGTGGCTGAGTCCGGATCAGGTTTGAATATCCAGCGCAGTTCTAGGTCTTGAACTTCAGAAACTACATGTGACATTTCCTCTCTCCATTTCTTGACTTCGTCTAACAATGGCTGCAAAAGCCCAAAGCAATTGTGCAGGCAGAATGCGCAACCAGTCTTGCAGCTACCCAAGCTGCGGTTGAATTTCTCCAAAAACAATGCCCATTTGGCAAGCCAGTCAGTCTTATTAGACGACTGGGAGGTTTCCTTGGTCTGTGGATTACTCTTCCTTTTGTTGCCTCTTCGAGACCCACATGGCAATGGGTGTACAGGCACAACGAAGTACGGGTCTGGCTCTGTATCTGTGGAGCCTTCGCTCATGGCTTTTCAGGTGGCAAGAGAAGCATCACTGCCACAACTTGAAGCCCAATGCAGAAACTTTCAAATTTCAAGACATTCTTTGAGGCTAGAACATCATATCCTGCCAACGCTGCTTCAATGCTGCCTGCGCCAATGTTGCCTCAATTTGCATCAATAGACACTTGACAAGACCTCAGTGTGAAACAGTGCCAAAACATCAGTGTGAAACAGTGCAAAAACATCACTGCGAAACAGTGCCAAAACATCAACCACAACAGCATTGCCCACAGACTTTTCTAATTTTTTCCACGCCATCAAATGACCCCGAATCCAGAAAGCGCAGCAGAACAAAATGAGCCCACCTCACTCAGTCAAACATTGCCATTCACAGGTGGCATCTTCAAACTCAAATTCAACTGGCAACATCAGGCGCAATCTGGCATCTAGCAGCGTAATCAACTTCCATCTTTCAGCTGCTGTCACGAGTCAACTTGATTGGCTTGTTGGCTTTCATGCTAACATCTTGGTTGCAAATCAAAAAAGCCTTCTTTGCCGTGAGTTTCGAATGTACCTTGTCGAATCCAAACCTCCACATCCATGAGAATGCTGGGTGCAAGCTGATCTTGTCATTCATGAGGATCAAGTTCCTGGCTGCATTGCCTGGGGTGTAGCTTGTAGGTTCCTTGTCCTTGGGCAGGAAGAACCACGGCTTGCCTTGCTGAGCATCTGTTGAAACCTTGATGTCGAACCCATGGGTGCCATTTCCTGAGGATGGCTGGCGAACCGATACCATGTGTCCTGTCACTGCGATGTCTGCCAAGTTGTGAGTCTTCATCAGCTCCTTGACCACAATGTAGAAAGATCCCTTTTGCACCCTTTGATCAGCTTCATCCGCACCGGCATTCCCAACGATCACCTGGCAAGGCCAAAAATCAGTTGAATCTGCTATGCGTCAATTGAATATACCAGTGTACAATGTCAGTTGAATGCCCAATGAAACTGTACAATGTCAGTTGAATACCAAACGAAGCTTGAAAGGTGAGGGGTGGAAGGTGCCAGTTGAAGATGTCAATGAGAGCTGTGGAGATGTCAGTTGAATGTGTCACATGAAACCTCAAGAATTTAGTGTCGCAACCTACCTTGAAGATACCAATGGAAACTGTTGAGATGTCAGTTAAACGTGTCATGTGAAACCTACAAGAAGGGGAAATATCAGCACAGCCTACCTTGAAGGTGTCACTCGAAACTGTGGAGACATTAATTGAATGGGTCATGTGAGAAGAGAGTGGGAAACTATCAGCACAATCTGCACATTGAAGATGCCAATGGAAACAACGGAGATGACAGTTGAGTTTGTCAGTTGAAGACGTCACTTGAAATTGTGGATGCGAGATGCAAGATGTCACATCAAGCAGCCTGTGAGATGAACACACACCCCAAACGGTCACCCACCAGGCCTCAGTGAGTGTCCTGTCACCATCAGGAAATCCCAGTTGCAAGGCATGACCACCAGCTTCCTGGGTCATCCGTCCAGACCCAAGACCAGCGATTTTGGTACCCTTCCGCAAGATCAAGTCTTCGGACTTCACAATGATAAACGCATGGCCATTGTCAGCAACAAGAAATCCAACACCACGATTATCAAAGGCCTTCACGTCGACATTGATCTTGTACTGTTGGCGAAGCTGTGCATCCGACTCTGGACCAGTCAAAGAAACGGGCTCTGGATTCAATTCGCCACTGCCTTCTTGTGCATTTCCACTTGTCAAATTCGAAGGCCTTGGGTCTGCAGTGGGAGTGCCTCCACGTGCATCACCGCGCACAGTTTGGAGCTTCCCAACCAACAAGGAGCCATACTTGTCATTGTGCAGTTTCTCCATGGCATCAAACTGCGCTTTCACTGACGGCAGTGCATGTGCGAACTCTGCTTTCAATGATGGCTGCAAAGAAACCTGGGCACCATTGAGACAAGTCACGCGGAGCTTGCCTTCCCACGTTCTCGTTCCTTCGTATGCTTCCATGGCTCCAGGCACTGAGCGGAGGTAGGCCTTGTCATTGTCATCGAGAATGGTGATATCGGCTTCAATGGGAGCCACACTTTTTCCAGTCTCTGTGAAAAGCTTAAGTTCGTGCTTAAGCCACTTCGTGCCCAGGTGCGCGCCAACTCGCTTTTGTGAGAACTCACAGGCACTCAGGCTCTTTTTGTCCCGCAGAAACTTCAGCATCACATGCCTCTGCACAGGCCCTCCCTCTGCTGCCATCAAGCAAGACCCCAATGCATGGTCTGCATTGTGGACGTGAAAGTCCAGGATGACGATCTCATCCTTTGGTCTCACCAGTGGAGGGGCTGCAGCTGGATTTGCTTTGCTGGTCATCATGAGTTGCTGGTACACGATCTTCCAGACTTCTCCACCTTTCTGGGCCGACCGGGTGGCGGCGCATACACGCATTCCATCTGCTCGTTCCGTTTCTGCTGCACTCGAAGTGATTGGTAGCATCTCTGAACACAGCTCTCCCTCGGGCAACTTTCCAGTTCTCACCAGCTCTGAGCACTGCAAAAAAACATTGGGCCCAGAGTCGTCGCCTCCCCAAAACATGAGACGTCCCCGCATCCCAAAGTCCCATTGCGTCTGGTTTGTGGTCCTCAGATCAAGTCACATGTCAACCGAAAAGGTTAGCAAACAAACGAATGAATACTTCAACTGAAAATGTTCACAACAATTGCCGTAAGTACGTGACACACTCATGACTGCTTTCAAGAAACTCCTCCATGGGCACACGCAAAGGCATGAAGAAAGGGACTTGCCGTTTGAATCCAGCCTCACGCATCTTTCGGACAATGTCCACCTCGTCTTCCATGGGATCACATTCACTATCCTCTCGACTGCGGTTTGGAAAGATGCACAAGACCACAGTAGTGCCCACACCTGCAACAAGAAGAAGCATTGACTGACTGGAAAAATGCCATCATAAACTTTTCAATGTCATTCACAATGCGCACAATGTGACTGCCAAGACACCCTGCGTTCGGCAGCAATTGGCCAATGATGGGATAAGCCCTTTGAGACTCAGAGCATTGCGGGCCTGGGGAATTCACGGCTCAATGACAGCGACCTCTTATGAAAAGATCCTTGCAAACATATTCACTCATTTGTGTCAAGGAGCATTTGGGATGTTGAAGTCCAAATGGAAAACCATGAGACGCTTGCCATCAGGATCAGCCAGCGGCGGCAGGGAAGCCATCAAGCCCTCCAGGTCCCCAGGCAAACTCTCATTGTTCTCCACAGCTAACACGGGGCAGAAGAATTTCATGTGCCTGTCAACTGTGTCCCGAGCGTGCTGTGCAACTTTCAATTTCTTTTGGGTCGACAGCCAATCCAGACAGTCTCCAAGAACCTCATAGCCATCTGACACTGAGTTGAGCAGCTTCCAATCCAACTTCAATTTGGCCTCCATGGCGATGAACTTGGAAATCCTGGCGTCAGTGGCTGCTCAACATGTTACATTCACCAAGTGAGTATTGAGTCTAAATCACCAGTCATGTCAACATGCAGAAACAAAAGCAAGAAAAGCAAGATGCCAGTTGGGTAAGCATTGAGCCAAGTTGCCACTCATCCTTCTCGGCTTTCTCAATGACATCATCAACTTCTGCATCTTGCATCTCACCAGCATCTGTCAAACACTTCACATCTGGCAACATTGTGAGGCCAAATTCAAGTGGAAAGCTTTTCAAGCATTGGCAGAGCTGCTGGTCCAATGCGTCGCCGGTTTCAATGGCACTCTGGACCTCTTGGAAGCTTCGCTCATCAAGGTCTGCTTTGGCACAATGAATCACTGTTTGACGCCATGCCTGCACTACCATGCGGTAGCTCCACAGCTGGTCCACGTTGATCTTGGCCAAGTCACCTTTTGTTTCCATCTCACTTTCATACACGCTGACAATTTTCAGGATCAAGGCTTCATGATCTTCTGGTGTCAAATCCATTCCGAACTGCAAGGGCTTTGACCTAACAAGCGAAGCTTTGCTGGATAAAAAAAAATGCACAAGACCCACAAAACCAAAAAACAAAACTAAAAACTGCATAAAATTAAACACCAACGCAAAGCCAAGCGACGTGACCCGATCAGGCAACAGCTTCTTTTGCATTGCTGCAGCACCTCGCCTGGCAAATTCCTCAGCCTCATTCGGCATCATACCCTCTGCTGGGGTGCTCCCTGGCCATAAATGACGCCACGCCAACACTGCTTCAGTGAAGGCCGAACGGCGCTCCCCTCCACAAACAGAGGAATGGTGCATCATCATCTTGTAAGCCTGCGGAGTGACCCACATAAGCAGGTTCTTGATGGCAGTCACCTTGACTGTGCCAATGCGGATCTCAGAACGGTTGCCATCTGGAGCAGGTTGCGAAGTCTGGCTGTCATCCTTCTTGGATGGAGCGCGTCTTCCCCTGCGTTTTTTGGCCAAAGGCGGTTCAACTGCGACCCCCTCTGCATCAACCTTGGTCTCGTAGCCTTTCAAGAGTCTGTCCAGCACATTGCAAAGCAACTTGCCGTTGCTCCTCCGTTCCAGAGGGTTATCCCAAGCGAAGATCTGCGAGTAGTCCGTCCCAACTTTGTCCTGATGAAAGCTGAGACATTGTGGCAAACAACATCTGGACATATCTGGACAGCAACATTTGTCAGTCTAATCAAATTCCACCATTTTCAATAAGAACATTTTGATATGATGGGGCTACAAACGGCTGAAGGGGCAAAACAACATGAGAAAACCCTCAGCATCAGCCCAAGTGGCAGCTACTCCAAAGTGCGTCACCAGCACCATGTGCGTCCATTGAAGGCTGCTCACTGGAGAGATATATGCAGATTTCACATTTTGGCGAAATGCCTGGCTGATGAGATCATCCTGTTCGACAAACAGGGTAGGCAAAGCGCAAAGGCCCTGGAAAATGCAGAGGCCATGGACATCTGCCTGAAGCTTCCCATCTCGGATAGCCTTGCGCATCAAACACCACCTCAGCCAGTTGACAAAAAAACGCTGTCAGGAATTGATGAAAAAGCACTGTACTTGGCAATGACACGCGTTGAGAAGAATTCGGCCCAGGCGCACAAGCTTGACACTGAGGCCACGCTTCATACCTTGCCCAAACTTCAACTGGCACATTCCAGGCAAAGTGTCCCGGGAAATCAAAGATTCCTCCACACGAAATCCAGTGCTCAGGATGGAGTGCGCAATCCCAATCAGATTTCTAGCTTCGGCAGAGTGCCCCGACCTGAAACAGAATAAGGACAACTGACACTGCAACAACTGACAACTGACAAACAATCAATGCGTCCAAGCTACCAGAGGGAAGCTGAGTCCCAACGCCATTGATGAATGACAGTGACTCCCACTGCCCCTTCTACCATCTGCTGGCCAGCATTGACCTTGAGCTTGGCCCACTGCAGCGCTACATCTTCATCCTTAGCAAGTCTCCAGTAACACGACTCCGTCACAGGATTGAACACAAAGGGTTAGTGGGTAAAAACTTCAAGTTGCAGCTAGGCTCTTTCCCAGACAAAACAGCATACATCTGGGCAATCTCTTCAACAACATCTGACATCTCCGTTGGCAACGGCAGGCTTGCTATCTTGGGCGTCAAGCACTCACGGTCATTGTTGGCTTCCTGCCAAGTAAAGGGGCAACAAATCCAGAATGCAAAGTAGCAGCACGGACCAGAAAGCACCAACTAACACCCATCAAAAACCAAATCTGTCCTCATGCAACTTCAAGATCTGATCTTTGACATACTCACACCAAGGCGGCAACTCACTGCTGCTGCCGGCTGCCATGTTCAGAGACGATATGATATGACTGGTTCAGCACAAAAGCCACTGGTCATGAACACATCACACGGGCCCAAGGGGACACCACAAGTCAAAGAACACAGGGTGTTCCAAGATTCCAAGAAAAGAAAATCAAACCAAAACATTCTGGGTCAGTGTTTTCACAAATTGAATCAGGGGCTGCAGACCATAGGATTCTGGACTCTGAAGCTACTTACCCAGAATCCTATGGCAACTCCCAGTTGCCATAGGATTTGGCAGGGATAGTCAGTGAGGGGAATCCCAATATATTGAAATACAGAAAATCATATACCCTGGGAAATCCTATGGCAACTCCCAGTTGCCATAGGATTGGGGCACATGCTGCCTACACCTCAGAATCCTACGGTTGGCAGCCAGGTGCCTTTTGAATTTCAAATCCCAGGTCTATGGCAACTCCCAGTTGCCATAGGATTGTCGGAAGTTGGCAGCAAACCCAAGTCCCAAATCTATGGCAACCCCAAATCCCAGGTCTACGGCAACCCCAAATCCCAGGTCTACGGCAAACTCCCAGGTGCATAGGATGTTCGGAAGGTAGTTGGAGAGCAAAACACCCAAATTCCCACGTTTATGGCCAACCCAAATCCCAAGTCTACGGCAACCCCAAATCCCAGGTCTACGGCAACCCCAAATCCCAGGTCTACGGCAACTCCCAGTTGCCATAGGATTGTCGGAAGTTGGCAGCAAACCCAAATCCCAAGTCTACGGCAACCCCAAATCCCAGGTCTACGGCAACCCCAAATCCCAGGTCTACGGCAACCCCAAATCCCAGGTCTATGGCAACTCCCAGTTGCCATAGGATTGTCGGAAGTTGGCAGCAAACCCAAATCCCAAGTCTACGGCAACCCCAAATCCCAGGTCTATGGCAACTCCCAGTTGCCATAGGATTGTCGGAAGTTGGCAGCAAACCCAAATCCCAAGTCTACGGCAACGCCAAATCCCAGGTCTACGGCAACCCCAAATCCCAGGTCTACGGCAACGCCAAATCCCAGGTCTACGGCAACCCCAAATCCCAGGTCTACGGCAACCCCAAATCCCAGGTCTACGGCAACCCTAAATCCCAGGTCTACGGCAACCCCAAATCCCAGGTCTACGGCAACCCCAAATCCCAGGTCTACGGCAACCCCAAATCCCAGGTCTACGGCAACCCCAAATCCCAGGTCTACAGCAACCCCAAATCCCAGGTCTATGGCAACTCCCAGTTGCCATAGGATTGTCGGAAGTTGGCAGCAAACCCAAATCCCAGGTCTACGGCAACCCCAAATCCCAGGTCTACGGCAACCACAAATCCTGGGTTTATTTAAAAAATAGAAATCAAATAGATTCAAATGGGCTTAGCTTGAGGGTCCAGCTGCCAAGCGCACAGCTGCCTGGATGAAATGGCCTGAAATCAAGCTGTTGAACAACAATCCACGGTCCCTGACGTCCCTGATCTACAGAAAAGTCGAAGTAAGATGTGGAGTGCCTGAGGGCCAAGCTGCCAGATGCCAGATTCAAATCGAAATGCCTGAGGGTCAGTTGCCAGAAGAACTGGCAGTAATCTGAAGATGCACAGTTATCAGATTCAAATGCAAATGCCTTATGGGCCAGTTACCAGATGCATAGCCAGTTGCAATTAAACCAAAACGCCAGATCTACAGCAAAGCAAAAAATCAGACGCATAGTGCCAGTTGCTTAGATGCATAGTGCCAGTTGCTTAGATGCATAGTGCCAGTTGCTTAGGGCCAAGCTTCAAAGCCAATCTGCGAGTCTATGGAGGCCTTACAGTACAGCAGGAACCTGGAACAAGAACTCTACTATAAAGGGAGTCTTAAGGACAATAAAAGCCTATTCTGCCAATGCTGAGCTCCTTTTTTCGCTGCGGGACGCTGCTCTGAATTTGGTGCTACTTCCAATTCACCAAGATTCCCAAAACAATGGCCGCAACTATGTTTGAAGTAAAAGCGTTGCCGGCCAATTCCTGACTTTGCCTTTGGTCAAGTCCACCAAGACCTGCTTTCTCTACTTCTTCTGGGCCAAGTCCTTGCAACCGCAAGTAGAGGTTGCCAGTCACATTGGAGTTGGTGAAGCAATGGCCTTGAAATATATACAGATATTTCTTGGTAGGCAGAAGGCAAGGGTGACAGGTGGAGTTGAAACGAACATAGTTGAGGGAGTCCCCAATGTTTGCAACCAGGCAATCCTGGTCCACAGGGTTCTTGATGTTCTTTCGCATGTGCAGGGCCAACTTCAGGATTGCACATTCAACCTCCCGCTCAGTGAGGTTTAACTTGTCTTTCTGCTGCACCAATGCCTTCTGAACTCTGGTCTTCATCTCTGAGTCCGCAATTTTCCATTTTTCTTTGAAAGCAGCATGCTGTTTTTTCCATACAGGTGGTTTCTTGGGTTTGTTTTTGTTCTCCACCTTTTTCTTGTCATTCTTTTTTTTTGGCATCTGACATCTCATCAGCAAGCATCGCAAATTTGGCATCTGACAAAAACTTGGCAAGAACATCTGGCTTGTCAATCTTGCAACTGGCCACAAAATCCCAAACTCTTTGCACCTGCTTCATGTGAATCTCCTGGCCATGCATGCCGAACCCTGCACTTCGCATCACAAAAACACCGTAAGTTCTTGACCTGCTTTGGGGGAGCCCAAAGTCACGAGTGTTGAGCAGGTTCCATGATCCAGCGTATCCTAGCTCTGCCAGTTTGTCTGTTGCAACTTTCGTTCCTTTTTCATTGACAGCCTTGCGCAGCTTGTCCAGCGCGGCCACACACTCCAGCATAATGAAGCGGGGTCTTGCATCCATGCCACATGAAGACAATACGTCTAGCATTTCCATGAAACTGGAGCCGCTTCTACCCTCTCTGTCCAAAATGGAGCGAGGAGTGGTTGTCAGGGGACTGACATCATCGCATTCGATGGCTCCGATCCAAAGGTCTACTTTTGGTTCTTTCAACCCATTCAGCTCTGCAGTCCTTGATTTGAACAGTGCAGGTGCGGCATGCTCTCCACCACAACTCTTATGCACTTCCTGGCAAAGAGCTCTCTTCCATGCCACCATTTCACTGTAGAACACTGCTTGGCAAGCAACTGTCAAACCATGTATCTCTGTGATCTTGGACTCCAAAGTTTTTGAAGCTATGGTACCCGTTGCCATCCCAGCGCAGAGCTCCCGTTGCCATCCCAGCGCAGAGCTCACCAATGTTCAATGTGTGCTGACTGTGATGTGCCCGCAAACAATCAACATCTTTCGAGTCCAGCTTGTCCACAATCCAAGTCACATACCTCATCAGATTCGAAGGCGCATCAGGACTGGCTTCACCTTCACTGTCAGAGGAATCTAGTTCTCGTTCTCGTTTTTCCCCTTTTCGGCATTTACTTCTTGTAGTCGAACTCTCTTTGTTTCTTCTGTCTCTGATGTAGCTTCGCTGGCAGACCTGTCAACAGCAAACCCAACAGCTCCCACTCCGCCATGATGGCCACGGCTACTGCTGCCACCGCCACCGCGACCACCATTGCGACCGCCGCCACGACGACCACGACCGCGCCGACCACGACCGCGGGATGGCACCGCCTCTGGCTCAGAGGTTGACACACTGCTGCCTTCTGATTTGGTCATCTTGAGCCATCAAAAAACTGTTTCGAAACACAAGTTGCAAGGTGCACCTTGTTTAATCAGCATCACCGAGTTTGCAACTGTATTTTCCCTAGTAGATCAGGGCAGGTGGAAACACAGCTGCAATAAAGGAAGAAATGCAAGAAAGGCATCACCACAAACTTCGATGGTGTGGAACTAAATTCAAGTGCCAAACATTAAATTACAATTCAAACATAACCAGTTCACAAAGAGCGACTCTCCTAAGGATGGGAGCTGTGTCGAACATGGGCACGCAAGGCTAACCTTTTCTTCCCTGCTCCGCAAATGATGCGCTGCATCTACAGATGCTGAACCCCAAAAACATCTGACCATTGCAAATGATCAGTCTGTGTCCATCACTGGTTGCGGAAGGGCATCTTCATGGGCACTGCATCCTTGTTCTGCTCCAACCATTTTCCACTCAAGAACCTGGCTTCCCCATAGTAATCGGATTTCGTCATGTTCTCAAGACCCTCCCATTTGTCTCGGCAAAATTTGTAGAAGCTCGGCTCTGACTTGGCTGGGTGCACCAAATAAGGCTTGATGAGATCATCATACGCCTCAACAATGGCCTCCCAGATCATCAAGAGCTTTTCATTCTTCGGCGGAGGCTTGCTGGCAAAAGTCGATTTGCCTCGTTTGGCCACCCTCTCATCATCAGCATCAGAAACTCGCT